ATTTTATAATACTTAAAACCTACTAATTAATATAGTTTTAGTATATCTCTAAATACTTCCTATTATTAATAATAGATCTAAACTATTATAATATTATACTTAATAAACTTTATAATTACTTTATTATTAAAGTAGTAGATAAGTAGTAACTCCTTTAATTAAGTTTATTACTTACTACTTAATAGCTTTAGTATTATCTACTCTATAATATTAATATAATTTTAATTAAATATAATACTAATAAAGAGAATAAATAGTAAGAAGGCTATATTATATATACTTTATATTCCTAAATAGGTTTAGTAATAAGATCTCTAATATTAATATATTTAAAGTACTTTATTACTAAGAAATAGAATATAGTTATATAAATATTATACTATAAAAAGAGACTTATTACTAAACCTATTTAGGAATATAAAGTATATATAATANTACTAATAATTAATTTATACTTAGATTTTATAATAATATATATTAATTTACTAATAATACTAGTAGGATAGATAATAATAATATTATAAGCCTTAAATTAATATACTTAATAATAATTTTAGCCCTCTAATATCCTAAGATATATATTTAAGAGGAGTTAACCTTATAAGGATAAATAGAGTATTAGCTTATAGATTTTAGTAAAAGAAAGCTCTTCTAAAGCTATTAATAATTAATTTATATAATAATTTATAATAATTAGTATTAATTAATATGTTTTTAGTGTTAGTATATATAAATAAACAAAAGTGGCGTAGAGGGGTAATAAATTACGCACTAATAGGGGTTTTAGGTAAGGTAAACGTAAATAAGTGCGTATCCCACGCACTGTCTGTGCTCCAGAGACCTCTCCTTCCTTTTCAGGCAGGAGACTATTCTTTAACCCCAGCTCTTATCAATAACACGAGCAACGGAGAAATTGAGAGTTCGGCTATTCGGCCAACATCAAATGGGTCCATGTAGTGGCACTGCGATCACGAATTCCTGTGTACGAACGCACACTGAAGGGATAGGTATAAAATCATGGCGCCTGGTCGCCAAGCCGTAAAGTATCTCTCGTGGATGACTGCGCAAGGTGTGTATACTCGCAAGACTTTATTCCTTTTCACCAACCTCTTACGCTCATTATGAAGTCCGTTGCCGCTATCGCGTCGGCGGCAGGCCTGATCGGCTCTGCTGCAGCCGCATCTCGCGTGCCTCTCCAGTTCGACATCGCTGAAGTCGACCTGTCTTCTCTGCAGAAGCGCAGCGTCGATAGCGAGCCGTTGGAAGTGTCTCCTCACGTACTCCAGCTGAACAGAGTTGCCGGTACCTCCCCTGCTGAGACATGGATTCAATCCATTCGAAACGGACCTAGTGCGAACGGCCTGTACAAGACAGGTCATGTCACTAACATGACCGACCTGAACGGCTTCGAGTACATTGCCAGCATTGGCTTCGGCGACGAGACTCTGCAAGTTATCGTTGACTCTGGATCCAGCGATACGTGGGCTGTGCAGAAGGATTTCATTTGCCAAGACTCTGACGGCACAAGATTGAACGACGTGAGTAATGCGTTGTGACAGAGCACCCGACGCAGGGGCATATTTGCATTGAGACGATCTGACTTGGAGCCTTGGGGAGCAGACATCATTGTGCGATTTTGGTCCCACATACAACGGAACATTCCAGCATGGCTCCATTCCCGGCGTGCACTTCAACATCACCTACGGTGACGGCGAGTTCGCAACAGGCCTCATGGGTTATCAGGACATCACTCTGGCTGGTCTTGAGGTACCACATCAAGAGGTCGCCTTGGTGAACAAGTCTTACTGGAACGGCGACAACGTCGCCAGCGGTTTACTCGGCCTCGCCTATGATCTGCTCACCAGCGAATACGACGACGCCACTGGTGCCTCTAAGCCTTACGACTCCATCTTCACCACCATATCTAAGAAGGGCATCGTCAAGCCCGACCTCTTCAGCATGGCCATGGACAGCAAGTCTCAGACTGGTCAATTGGCTTTCGGTGGCCTGCCTCCCGTCAAGACCAAGAGCGAGTTCATTAGCACGCCCATCCGAATGGTGAGTTGTTCAAGTAATAGTTGACGAGCTAAAATAAGAAGCTAAATTGAAACCAGATCGCCCTCTCCTCCCGCATGCCCAAGGCGAAGACGGAGTACTCTTTCTACACCATTCTTCCTGATGGCTATGTCATCAAGAATGTGACCATGGCTCCTACTACCAACGAGACCTTGGCTTCGAGCAAGTGGAACACCGCGGTTTCCAAGCCTTCTGGTTTCCACAACAGCACTACTCCTACCATCGTCGACAGTGGCACTACTCTGATGTACGTGCCTTCTGGTAAGTAATCGAGCAACTTTTCATGTCCTAGCACTAGTAAACGACGGCTGGCTTACCCATATGTCCAGACATCTCCGATGCCTTCGCAGCTGCGATCCCTGGTTCTTTGTACAACTTCTTCTCAGGCGCGTACTACGCTCCTTGCAACGCTACGGTGCCGGACTTTGGTGTTGTGATCAATGGGCACACCTTCTACGCCGACAGTGCCGACCTCATCCAGACCAGTGACCCCGTCGACAATGGCGATGGCACTTTTATCTGTCTGCTTGGTGTTAGTGACGGCGGCGAGGGACCTTACATCTTGGGTGACACTATGATGAACAGCTTGGTGACTGTGTTTGACGTCGGAGCCGGTATGATGCGCTTCGCTAGCCGCGAGTAATTAAGCTGGACACATTTAATGAGAACGCACATGCGGCCCAGCCTTCACTACCACAATTCGTAAGTGCTGGGGCGCATGACTTATGGAAGCTTGTATATAGTAATTGTACATACTGAATTACAGTAATGAGATGGTGAATTGGAAACATTAGTAATACATTTGAGGCAATTTACAATATGCAAATTCCAAACAAGGATGCTTTGAAACAAACGATTCGTTTGGTGCGAGTGTTTCCTAACCGCTCTGGTCATTGTTATTCAAGTACGCTTGTTTTGGTTGCCTCCTACTCTTGACAAGACCTCTTGCGGGTATAGGAACCAAGTTAGGCGACTAGTCTTACAGCAATATCGCCCTGCCTAGTGGTTTCTCAATGTTCGAGGCAGAGCAGCCTCCTAGCTGATCTCCTAAGGGCCTGGCGAGAAGGATGGCTCTGCAATATCACATGGAGACGCAGTAGTAACCGTAGCTGCATGGCTTCTGATGTGCTTTCGTACCTGCTCTTGGCTAAAAGATTTTACAATCACTCAAGTTTCATAGCATGCTTAATGGGATTTTTGAAAATTTGAAGTTGACTGTTGTCAAAGCCCGCAGACATTGCGAGCGTCTTATTAACATGAAATGAAGTCCCAACCCTCGAAGCCTTAGATCTCCACACATCCAGGGAAACCGCTTCCAGTTCCCGCACCCTGTCTGTCGCAGCAGTTCTGGTAGGTCTGTTGCCTCGTTAGTAAAAGTAGTTCCATTTTCTGGCGCAAGGGGCCTTGAAAGGTCTCCGCGTCAAGGTTTGCGTTTGAGTTTTGACATACACCGGGGTCAGGACCATTGTAGCTGCAGCAAAGGAACCATTCTCCCCACACAAGCTCGTGGGGGAAGGGGGCAGAAGTGCCGTTGTTGTAGGGCTCGCAATTGGGGGATTGGCGCTCGACGACCGTGGAGGGGGCGGCGCTCGTACCCGCAATGAGGGGAAGAGCAACGGCAATGATGGAGAACTTCATTTTTGTTCCTGTGAAATTGAGATGACTGAGCAGATTGAGATGAATGATTTGGAGGTGATGAAAGTTGCTTCGAAGACTGGATGTATGTTCGTCTTATAAAAGCATTAGCACATGGCCTGAGTTGTCTTGGCTCAGGGGTTGTCATGATTACGGATGAACACTGTAAGGCGGTAAAGGCGGGGGATAGCCCACTTGCCCGCGCGCCGTGTCGAATCATTTGTCGCGATCACCTCGGTCGACTCGGTTGTTACTTTTTAAGTTGACCAAATTTCCGGTTTCCTTTTCACTTTAATTGCCTGGATATTAGCCAAGATGTTATCGATGTGGCTAAGCGAAGTGTTGATCCTTGCATAGCCTGACAGGACAACTAACGATCAGCGTCTAGGTGACACTCTTGGCCAGAGTTCCAATCCGCACGTAAAGTACCATGAGTTCCAAAATTTTACTCTATCCATTCAAGCCTTACATTTTGGTGCAATCGCAATTCGCAGAAAGATACAGAGCCTCCGATTGGGGTTGAAGATTGCGACGGAACGCTGTAACTCTGCGATTGCTTGAAAGAGAAACAGTGAAGGCCGCCAAGGCGACTTTCTGAGCTGGCCAGTCTGATTGCATCATAGCCAAACTCGATTGCAACTTCATATCTTGGATATCTGGAGATGAATGCCCATCCCTTGTGACAGTCGGAGCAACAATTCACCCGTGTTCACATCTGCACGGAGGACTCTAGTGCCTGATTTAGAAGGCGGAACGTCCCACAACGCCGTGTGACAGAATTCGCGGGGGGCCAAGGACCAGCCATACAAGCGATGGGGCCTTGCGCGGGGATATCACTCCGATTCGGGAAGGATCTGAGACGAGCCATCACGGACACACAAGGATGGCTTGTTACCCAAGCAATAACAAAGTATCTCAATGTAGGCATGCACTTGTAGTTATTGAGGTTTTGAGACTACCTTAGCTGCGCAATAAGCTTTGAACTGATGTTTAGGTTCCTCCCACATTCGGCTGATATTATGGAGAATAAAGAACAAAATGGAACTCGTCGACCCGATAGAAAAGTCAAGCGAGCATGGGCACAGGGCACCCAGTCTTCTGCGTCCAGATGCATTTAGAAGATTGCTCTAAGCATTTCTAGCATTCATCTGGAGTGTAGCTGACACATGAAATCTAACCATGAAAAATGTGCATTTTGACAGACTATGTGCATGATCACGGGTGTGTTTCCCTGCTTCCGACGTCTTGCCAATGATCCCGGTAAGAAGCACCGAGGATATCAATCGTATCTAGGCGGGGTTAAAGTTGATGGCGTTCTTGCCGCTGTCGGAACAGCATGAAGACATGTAGGAAATAGCCGCAGAGTCAGAGGTGGTGCAACACTAGATTGCTAGTTAGCTATGTTCCCGTTCAGACTATGAAACCAGTGGAGAACGAACAAATGTTCCAGGGCCATCATGGTAGGTTTTGCCATGAGGAGATTTGCAGCAGCTCTGGGTGAGTGCGTCATGAAGAGCTCCCGGGGCGTGAACGTCCTGGCAAACGCCAGCGTAGAAGCTTCCCTTGCAGTCGGCAATAGACGCAAGCGAGCCGGATGCGAATGCGCTGTGATTGAGGGTAAGCGCTGCCCAAGTAGGCAGACAAATGGTGTCTGAATACTTACGCGATGATGACAAAGATCTGTTGGGAAAGCATTTTTGAGACGTGCCGGTAATGACGGCTGATCAGATGAACACCTAATAGTCGAGATAGGGTTTGTATGGCTGGAGTTATGCTTGTGTATGAGATTGCTACATTAGTCGGAGGTTACGACTCTTTTATATTCCAGCTTCACATCTCTTACCTCGCAGAGAATGCGAGAAGAGCGAGATACTGACTCAATTTGCAATTTAAACCCTACCCGTATCAGAAGAAGGTTGAGACTAGTTGAAGCATTCAACGTTCACCGCCTTCACGAAACCCGAGGAAGTCGGAACAGTCGGGCCGATAACACGATATGGTCTGTGGATTTCCAGATTCCAAGAAAGCGTGATGCTCAAATTTTCAGCCGTGTTGACATGCCGTCCGCGTTGGTGCTGTCATTATACTTTTCAGCTCTTGCATTCGGCCGAGTTGATTATGATTTGAATTACTAAGAGAATGGATCCCTTATTACTTCCGTGCCAGGTACAGAGATTGTGTTCTTGCGAATTGACATACACTCTGTATTACTGTGACGATGGTCTTCGTCGCCTCTACATTTATCATTGCTGCTACTACTGTCGTCCGCACTGCTATTGTCTCTACTACTGTTGTCATCGTTCGGAGTAATCTGAGTGACAGAAAACGAAGCCGCGCAGGCACAAAAAATTCAGCAAGCCCCGACGGGCTCATCCGCTAGCGTACATAGCACGAAGTTGAAAATGTATGCCGTTTGTTGCATGTAAATGGTTTGCAAACGTCCCTGGGCTAATGTGTTCGTCCAAAGAAACAAGAACTGTATCACAACATGGAGATGCTACGTTGGTCGCCCAAACCAACGACCTACGTCATCTTGTTTCAGTAACCATAACGATTCATTCGGAGATACATTGTTTACTTCATCACATCCCAAATCATCTGCCTAGTCCATGGCGTTCGCCAAAGTGAAATGTGACTGGCCTCCAATTTGCGAGAATCCGGGGCAAGCCGCCTCATTCAACAAGACAGATCTGCATCACATGTAACTCCTAAAACCTTATCACGGACTTCAACTCACTAAAAAAAGAAAAAGGAAAAAACTTCGGATCTTGCAGCCCATCGGCTCTACTCCGAAAGTTCCCCACATCGACGGCTGCGACAATGCCGGCCGCAGGACCCGGCGCGGGGTATGCTCCACCGTGCTAGACTACTCCGTCAGCGAGCACCATCTCGCAACGTCGTTGTCTATTTCAGCCTCAAATCTTTGTGTTTGATCTTTCACATTACTTTCATCCCACTTTATCAACATGGACGAAGACGACGAGCTACCTACGGTGCAGAAGGCCGCTGTCATTCGAAACCCAGGGCCGAACGCCACTATTGTGGTACAGCACAACGTGCACGTCGGGACTCCCGGGCCTCATGAGGTTCTCGTTCGCATCAGTGCCACAGGCGTCTGGTACATCTTCTCATGTTCTTTTTGAATGACTGTTCATGGCTGACTTAAACTCTGGAAAGCGGATCGGAGACTCGAGCTTTCCGGGGTTGGGGTGTTTACGACCCCATTGTAGGCCATGAGGGCGTTGGGAGAATCGTCAAACTGGGCCCCGGTGTTTCTGAAGATTTGCTTGGCCAAAAGGTCGGGGTGAAATGGCTTTACAGTGCCTGTGGAACCTGCTCCGTCTGTGTCCGCGGACACCAGAATAATTGCCCGAAGCAGCGCAACACCGGCAAACATCGCCCCGGAACGCTTCAGCAATATGTCGTGGCTGATTCAAGATATGTCACGAAAATTCCCGACGGTTTGCCTGATGCTGAAGTTGCACCTTTGCTGTGTGCTGGTCTGACCATGATGGGCGCGGTTTCAAAACTGGAAGGAGACCTTTCTCCTGGCGATTGGGTCGTTATCCAAGGGGCTGCTGGAGGTCTGGGCCATCTTGGTGTGCAAATTGCCTCGCGAATGAGAGGTTACCGAGTGATAGCAGTCGACTCTAGTGGCCACGATCAATTTTGCCGAGACAACGGAGCCGAAGCGTTCATCGACTACACGAGGGAAGAGGTTGACAAGAAGGTCATGGAGTTGACAGGGGAGGGATCTCACGCCGTCCTCGTGGTGCCTGAGTCGGAAGACGCTTACATCATGGCGCCCAAGCTGGTCAGGTCCATGGGAACAATTGTATGCGTCGGTTTGCCTCGCAACGATTTCGATATTCCCATACCAGTCACCTTATGTGCTCTCAAAGGTAAGTCCTCACTACGTTTCAGTTGGTACCAAGGCTAACCTGACTGCTCTCATATAGCTCTCAATGTCAAAGGCGCCATGGTCGGCACCGAGAAGGAAATGTCTGAGCTATTGAGGGAGGCTGCCAAAGGTCGCATTCGAGCATCCGTCGAATACTTTCATATTAATGACACGGAGGAAATTGTAGGACAATTGATGAATCAGGAGATGTATGGGAGAGCTGTTATCACTGGTATTTGATAGATGTAAACAAGCCGAGGCACAAGACAGGTAGATATGTTTGCCGAGCTTCTGGTACTATTAGAAAACTTCAATTGCCTGAAGAAGACAAGTACTGCCTCTGAGAAAATGACACGTTATTGATCTAATTCTAGTAGTCTTTCGCTGTTGAACCAAATAGGTGAACCCCAGTTTCTAGCACCTCGATTTCATCACCAACCTCAACATACAGCCCCGCCCTCTGCTCCTTGGCTTCTTCTAAGTCCTGATCCTCCGGTACGCAATGCATACCGATGTACCCCAGCGCGGATGGGTTCCCTGTCTCGACCGTCCGGTGTTCTATCAAAGTCGCGCTCGGCTGCGGCTTGCCCTTCTTCTTTCCCGCAACTGGTATGTCTGCTTCAAAGGTCCCCGTTTCAAGATTGACATTCGGCATCGTGCACCGCGATGTACGACAAACAACCGACAATTTTGGCGCCACCTCCGCCCTTTTCTCATCTGAAACGGCCTTTGGTAAGATTCGATAGCGCTTCCAGGACTCTTCGGCAAAGGCCGGAGCTCCCGTGATCCAGATGTTTGCGCGGAAGCGTAGTGCGTCTAGGGGCTGGTTTTCTGGCGGTAAGAGTGCCGAGACGGCGTGTACTGAGGAGAGGGAGTTGAGGTTGACGGGTTGTTGATCTGTGTAGCCGTGGACTGAAGGTGTTCCGATGGACTTTAGCGGTGCGAGGTTTCTGTCGCAGCGGGTCAGGGTCTCTGGGGTACATCGCATAAGCGTGAGGCCGCGCTTCTCCGGGATTTGGAGGTATTTTTTGAGCTTGGGTAGCGCTGCTGCGACGGACGGGACGTCGCCCAAATCCAGGCCGCTAGCCTCACGAGCGTGGATGCCGAACTTTTTGATTCTGATGTTCAGCTTTTCCACTTCTGTCGGCGTAGGTTGAAGAGGTGCCACCAAGAAGACCTCCGGCACGGCGGAAGGATCCCAAGTATGAAGAAGGGTCTCCAATCTTTGAGTCCAGGATGGAGGATTCGGGTCTCTGAATGACAGCACAACGCAGCCGCCGGCTTGCGCGAGAGGGTCGCTGGGATCACTATCCTTGTGCGGAAGCCATATCTCCGTCTTGATGTGGCACATGTTGGGTTTAGTACGTTGACTGATGAATTTCCATGTTATTGAGCCATTGTCTGGGTCGACGACTTCGGTGGAAATGGCGAAGCATCTGTCGTACAGAAATCCGGTTTTGGTGAGCAATGCGCGGTTGACCTCGATGAAGCCGCACGACTTCACTGGGTGGATGTAGAGAGACTTGATCCGGATCGGGCCGTTGGTTTCGGTGTCCTCCGGAGCAGCGTATTTGGTATCGAACTGATCTGTCATGTTGCTTGTTGATACGCCAAGTCTCTGGAGGTGGCGGAGCTCTCTCCGTACCCTGTTGATGTTGCCATTACGAAGGACAGCAACTACTGTCAAGCCCAACAGGAAGATAAGACTGGCAACCAGCTTCACGACTGGGAGAGTCCCCAACTGGCCAAAGAGGCCGCTGAGCAAGCTGACAAGCATCTTTTGATCGGTCTCCAACTCGAATGTTGGTACAGAGCCAATGAGAGATGCTGCTCTGCAAGAAACTGCCTCTGCGATATGCATCCAGTCGGAAGCTGATAGAGTTGCCGATTCTCGGATGTCGTCATATCGCGGAAAGAGATCCCGCCAATCATTCGGCATCCCGCAGGACACGTCCCCACCAAACGTCAATTCAAGGCGCGATTGACGTTGCCGATGCGCGTTGAGCCGAAGCCGAGGCCGGTGCCAATTTTAAGGCGAAACTTTCCCAAATCGACTCGAAGATGTTGGTCAAAGGAAGGATACACTCAACGATTGGTAGGATGGATTTCTTTGTTGTAGTTTTGGGCCATTAGCGGGTCTAGCCAATTGTTCCTCTCTAGCTAATTTCCAACTCCAGCGGGACATGTCATTGTAGGGCGCGTTACCACATAAAAACATGGCGAGCGAAAAGTTTGAGCCGACAGGTTGGGGGCTGACTGAGAGACATTAATTGGAGAGGGGTGAACTATTTGATGACTCTATGATTGAAATAAGATCAATTGGCTGTCGCGTTTGATATAATGACCTTTGAGTTCTTGGCTACTCAGCATTGTGCTGGGTGAGTTTTGTGTCTCCAATAGATCCCAATCCCAGCCATGGTATCTCGATCTTCAACTCCGAGGCCCACGCCTGACCCAGAGCTTGCAACGCAGACTGGTTCTGTTACTCGACAACAAGAACAGTCTGAGAAGTCTGAACAACCACCTAGCGTGACAACCGACGCGGTACTGGCACCGATAGAGAATGACTACCCAGAAGGAGGACTTCGAGCTTGGTCCGTCGTCCTAGGTTCCTGGTTTGCTTCCTTCTCAGCGCTTGGCATATCTAACACCATCGCAACGCTACATGCGTACGTCGGTACGCACCAACTCGCCGGATACAGCGAGGGCACTATCGGATGGATCTTCTCAACGTACATGTTTCTAGTCTTCTTCTGCGGCATCTACGTCGGGCCCCTCTTCGACAAGTACGGGCCCAAGTGGCTCATCCTGGCTGGCACCATCGGCGTGGTAGCGGCGCAGATGCTGTTGAGTTTCTCGACAAGTCCGTTTTTGGCCCCTAAGACCATGTCTTCACCGCATCCGCTAACCTTAGATACTAGAATACTGGCAATTCATGCTCGTCTTCGGCGTCCTCAACGGCTGCAGCGCGTCACTCCTCTTCACGCCTTCGTTCGCTGCCATCGGCCACTGGTTCTACCACCGCAGGGGACTGGCTACGGGCATCGCGTCGACAGGCGGTTGCTTCGGTGGGATCGTTTATCCCATTATCCTGCGCTACCTATTCGAACGTGGGGGATGGGGCTGGGCTATTCGGACCATTGGGTTCATCGTGCTCGTCTGCTGCGGCACGGCGACTCTCCTCATCGACACGCGTCTGCCTCCCGCCCCGAATGCTTCGCCGCATCCAGACCTGCGTATCTTGCGTGAGCCAGCTGTCGCGATGACGACTATCGGTCTCTTCCTCTTCGAGTGGTCCCTCTTCATCCCCCTCACCTACATCTCCAGCTATGCAATCAGCAAAGGCTTCGAAACCGACTTCGCATACCAGATCCCGACAATCCTTAACGCCGGCAGTGTGGTAGGTCGTGTCCTAGCCGGCTGGTGGGGGGATTATGCCGGGCCCTTCAACTCGCATACTGCAGCGCTGTTCCTGAGCTGTGTTGCATGTTTAGCGATCTGGCTGCCAGCGGGCTCTTCCATGGCGGGTATCCTGGTATTCGTAATTCTGTTTGGATTCGCTAGCGGTAATAACATCAGCATCAGCCCGGTCTGCATCGGACGGCTCTGCAAGACGGAGAACTATGGCCGCTACTACGCGACGGCATACACGGCCGCCTCTTTCTCTTGTTTGTTCGGGGTGCCCATAGCGGGAGAGATCATTGCGGCGCAGGGTGGAAGTTATCAGGCATTGATCATATTTACTGGAGTGATGTATGCCGCTTCAGTTGTGGCCTTTGCAGCGGTGAAGATTATGCGAGTAGGTTGGAAGCCGCTAGCTATCTTCTAGCCTTGGGATCTTCAAGAGAAATCTTCTCATATCATGGTGATTGGCCATTATCTCTTCCGTGCTGGTTTAATGCGAATAGCGCTGGTGTAGAATTCACTGTTCTTCAATGTGTGGTCCATTTGAGCCAGAGTCCTTACCGATTGACGGCGTCTCCTCGCTCAGTATTCTCCAATTGCTCAACAACCTTGGCGTCAGCTTTTCCTCCCTCCAGCACAGCAAGATCGTGGCTGAGACCATCCGTCTGGAACTTGTGGAACTGCCATGCGGGGATGTTGGCTTCGAAGAGCTGGTCAATTTCCTCCAGGTTTCGGCCCTGTTGCATGATCAGCTCTCAACCTCATGAGATTTAGGTCTGTCCACTGTACTCACCTTAAGCTCAGGCATAAAGAACCATGCCCAAACTGACGTCAAGAAGGCGAAACCGCCCCAGATGTAGCCCAGCCCGGCGCCAATCTCAGCGAGGAGGTACGGGGTGACGAAGACTACGATGAACCCAACAACAACATTAAGCGCCGTCTGAGGATTAAGTCAGTACCCATCTCCCCAAATCACGAGTAGTCATGGAAACTGGAGAACTTACCGACAAAGCCATCGTCTTCTCTCGCAGAGTTTGCGTCCCCACCTCCGCGGCAGTGATGTACGCACCCGGGCCCAGGGTCATGTGGAGGATACACGTATACAGCTGCATGCCCGCAACGATGCCGTTGCTCTCGTGGACGTTGGGGCTAGCCTTGCGACCGAGCGCGCCGATGGCGATCAGGAAGGCGCCCTGGGACCAGCCGCCGTGGAAGACGAGGGTGCGGCGGCCGAACATGTCGAGGAAGACCATGGCCATCATGGCTGTGACTACGGAGGTTGCGTTGTTGACGACCTGTGATTGACTATTAGTGATGAGATGGACCTGACGTGGGTGAGGAGGGCTTACGGCATAGACGAAGGCCTTGTCTGCTAAGCCTACAGATCTGTAAAATGTCGGGCCGTAGGAGCTCGAGAAGGTCACTCCAGTAAGCTGCTGAAGAGCCATGATGGAGCATGCGATCCTGTTCCCCTCTGTGATTAGACCAGATCTGCCAGAGTAAAGCACAAAGTTCATGCAACTTACCCAGTCCTCCTCTTATTCTTCTCACTAAACAGATCCCTCCAAGGCCCCTTCTCCCGCTTGCCGGTCTGGCCCTCATCCCGCATGGCCGCAATCTCCATCTCAGGTCTGCCGTTATCCACATCCTCCTGCCTCCTGACCTTCCTCAGGACGGCAATGGCCTCGTCCGATCTGTCGTTGAAGACGAGCCACCTGGGCGAGTTGGGCGTGAACCACAGCCCGCACATGATGAGGACAGCAGGCAGAGCCTGGATCGCCGTCGCGATCTGCCAGCCTGAGCTGTCTGTCCGGCGGGACATGGACTCGTTGACGATGCCGGCGATGAGGGAGCCGAAGGTGAGGCAGAGCTGGATTGAGCCAACGAAGAAGCCGCGCAAGGGGGCGGGGGCGATTTCGGATTGGTATGTCGGGACGACCTGGTAGTGATACACGTCAGAAATCGAGGCACGGTTGAGCTACTCTTTGGACTTTTGCCAGCTTACGTTCTCGACCAGGCCGACTGCCGTGTACACCAAAAAACGGCCCGTGACAAATTGCGCGGCGTGGTTACTCGTAACCTGGACTTCATCCTCTCGTCAACCTCTCTCCCTGCCTGGACGCTCTCAAGCGTGTGTACTCACTGATGGCTCCCACAATCTGCACCAAACACGTCACCCCCATCGCCCTCCTATGCCCGATCCTCTCAATAATAGGCCCCACGACCACCGTCCCCGTGAACTTCCCTAGCAGCGGCAGACTATTCATCAAGCTAGCCGTCCGGCTGGGGAGGTAATATGCCTTCTTGGTCGCGCTGTAAGAACCGAACTTGTTCATGAAGGGCGTCATGGCCTGCACTCCGCCGAATGAAGCGCCGTCGCTGGTGGCAGACACGTATCAGATCTTGACCTCTGAGGAAGAGGAGGGCACCAAGGGAGACTCACTAGCCGAAGAAGACGCTTCCCATGGCGTAGATGAGGCAGTAGAGCATCAGGCGGGGAGTGGCGTTGGCGAAGGCCGCCTTGCCTGCGAAGATGCCGCGGCCCATTGTTGGTGATCGAGTCAACTCGGGTTGGACGATACTTAGGGCCCAGAATTGAAGATCAAGACTTATTCATATTTCACTGCAACATCTGGGAGCCAACGCCTTTTGAGCCATCAAGACAACCGGTGCCAACCCACGCAGCCGAGCTTTCAAGAATGGGCCGATGACCGGAACCCCTGCGACAGAACGTTTTCCGTCTTTCACCACTCTCCCCCGCAGTAGAAGACTTGGGGTTCGGGGGTGGGTTCTGTGGGGGAGCGAGAGCATGGAAGCGAGGATTATCTGACCGACATTCTTGCCAACTTCCTAAACCCGGGGTTTAAGGCGGGGGTAATAGTGAGAGTAGTACGTCGGGACTTGTCCGACGCGACGAAGACAACCGCGGACTTAGACGTTTGCGCGGTCAACTTCTGCGTGTGATATGCCTCCGCAGCCAGGTGGCCTGTGGGGGATCGACCTCGGCTTTCTTCAGCCAGAATCATCATCCAGAGCCGCCGTTTACCAGGCCATATTACATGCGATCGGCACCGCCTTCACCCACAGAGATCGCGAGCAGATCCCCCGAGAGACCGACTAAACCCACTAGCCAGCAGAATTTTCCATACTTGTTCAGCAAAGGAAGATTTCGAATTGAAGTAGCGGAGCTCCAGTTGGTTCAGACCCATAACGAATCCTTCGTCGGAGTCTCCCCGCTTCGACTGTCTCGTTGACTGCGTCGCTTGACGGCGCTTCGTATTGCTCAAATAGGCAATCTCCGCTAGTAATCCCAGAATTCGAACCAGTTCTTTGGCAACCAAATCTCATCAAATAGTTACTTCTGAAGCCTGTCACTTATGGTGAGCCTCAACCGTGATCTCAAAATCCGGCGCTGCCCCGATTCTCCGCGTGCAAAATCCGGGATGCGGGGTCGGGCCCGCTTGTGCCCCTCCTCCAGCAACTGGTCAGGAACGCCCGCGGGCCAGGTGAGGGATCAATGTTTTGTAAGAATGTCAATCAAAAGAAGGAAAGAGACAGGATTCGTAGGAAGCATGGCCGGCATGTTATTACAGGACTGGCTGCAAAGTTGATGTGAGTCAAACGTGGGTGGATAAACATTCATCATCGCAGCGAATGACGCCAGTCCTTCCGCGTCAGATGCGAGGGGAACAGGGAACTTTAATAGGGAATCGCACGCGCCCGAACTCGGAACGACGAACACCTCTCCGCAGCGAAGCATTGCGTCTGAGTCAACTTTGCGATACGCCTTCACCAGTAGGGTACATACACAATTGCGACGAATCAGGCGGCAGCGGAAGACGACTCTACTTTGAGTGCGATTGCTGCGAATCCTGGTTGCTCTCATCACTCGATGATTGCCTCATTCGTGAACCTCTTTCGTGCGCCACGCCTAACCATGTTGCAGCCCGGGACATACGACATTGTAGTCTACGGCTCGACGTCCGGCGCCGTCGCGACGGCTATTCAAGCATCTCGGCTCGGGAGGTCAGTCGCGTTGGTCTCGCCGCAGGAACACATCGGTACCACCCCTAATCGTCTAATTAAGAGACCTCACGCGTGGAACTGACCATATCGTCAGGCGGCATCCAGATCAACGGCCTCGGTGCCACAGATATCGACAACCAGGCTGAATTCCAGAACAGCACCACGTTGGGCGGTCTGAATCTCGAGCTTCACCAGAGGATCAGTCGTCACTATGGCCGTCTGGACAGGCTGAAAGAGGTCGTTGAGAAGAAGCTCAAGGATCCTGATGTCTGGAGGTTTGAGGCTAGGGTTGCGGAGCAGGTGATCAAGGACTGGCTGGCTGAGAACGCGTCGATTACCGTCGTCAAGGTGAACTCTTGGTGAAGCGCTTCCGTCAAGAGTGCTTGCTGATAGACACCAGTCGAGGCTCATCGAGAAAGATGCCGTTGAGAAGGATGGAACGACTATTCGGGCGATCCGTCTCGAGAATGGCCAGACGATAACTGGAAAGGTAGGGTCACCCTCAGATGTCGAATGTCGCCCTTCTCACAGACCCAGATCTTCGTCGAGGCAAGCTATGAGGGCGACCTTCTCGCCGCCGCCTCGATATCCTGGACCCACGGCCGCGAGTCCTCGGCAACGTACAGCGAATCCCTGGCTGGCGTCCGCGCGGAGACGCTCTACCGCCAAATCGACGTCGACATCGACCCGTACACTGTACCCGGCGACCACTCCAGCGACCTGCTCTACGGCATCTCCCCGGAAGCCTTTGGCAACCCCGGCGACGGAGACTTGCATCTTCAATCATACTCGTACCGTATGCCGCTGACCGACGTCCCAGAAAACTGTGTGCCCTTCACCGAGCCGGAGGGGTATGATCCTGCATGGTATGAATTGCACAGACGGTTCTTGAAGGCTGGAGGGGAGATTTATGTGCCAAAGAAGAGGTTGCCAGGAGAAAAGACGGACTTGATCGGAAGCGAGGGGGCGTTATCGACGGACTTGCTGGGGATGAACGATGAGTGGCCTGTGGCGGGGTATGAAGGGCGGAAGAGGATACTGAAGGATACAGCGGACTTCACGAAGGGATTCTTTTGGTTCCTGGCGACGGACGAGGCCGTCCCGGTAGGTTTGGCTGTCCTCCTGAAGTTATAGTGCTAATAGCAGCAGGAACCGATTCGCAAAGAGTGGTCGCGGTTTGGGTACTGCCGCGACGAGTTCCCTGACAATGAGCACTTTCCACACGAGCTCTATGTCCGGGACGCCAGGCGAATGGTATCGGACTACATCGTCACGGAAGCGACGGCTTCCCAGAACGGCGCGCCGGAGGTTCCAGACCCAGTCGCCGTAGCGTACTGGCCGACAGATACGCACAGCGTGCGGCGCATACTCCGGGACGGGCGGGTCCACAACGAAGGCTTCATCTTCAAGGACGGACACCGTTGGCGGCCCTTCGGTATCGCTTACCGTGCGATGGTGCCGCGGAGGGAGGAGGCGGGAAATTTCGTCAGTGTTACTTGTCCCAGCTCGTCGCACGTCGGATATGGTGAGCGTTGCATCCTTGGTGATTTGTGAATCCGTGGTGAAACCTGGCTGACGGGTGGTTAGGGGCTGTGAGGCTGGAACATCAGTTTTACGCGCTTGGCCAGGCTTGTGCCAACGCGTGTGACATCGCTTTGGAGAAGGACGCCTTGGTGCAGGATGTGCCGTATGCGCCCCTGAGAGAGAGGCTATTGAAGCAGGGTGTTGTTTTGGATGCCTCTACCGTTGGCGTCCCGTCGTTTGGTGACGAATGAGGCAGTCTTGGGAATTGGCATTGAGACATTGCCGAACCAGCTGGAATAATGCCGTCAATGAGGCTTATTCGGGGCTCAGAGGTATTGGATCTAGTTAGTCTGGAGCCTGATTTGTATCATGATACATTTCGACCGTTACGCTACACCAGCCGATCGATGGCTTGTGGCTGATTCAACCGTGTCTTCAGTAGTGGGCTGCGTATTATTGCGGACTTTTCGCTTTCGCAATTGAATATCGACAGATATGACAGCTCTGTAGGGCTGAACACCGACAGATTCTAGGAAGAATGCTGCAACTGATACAAAACCTGAAAGGAATCATCCGACTTTGCCTCTGGATTACCTTGGCGCTTACTGCTTGGGCGCATGGCATTCCTTTTGGCCCAGGCAGCCGAGGCGGGTTGGCGGGAAGGATGCGGTAGCACGACCAATCAATTGCGGAGAGACTGAACACGCTTTGGCACGAATAGACGCAGCGGGCAGTTGGGGTTGGCCAAATCTATCTCTGGCAGGTTGGCAGGGATATCAAGGCAGATCTTGAACTCTGTGTCGGCAACTGCGTTTCCTCAGATAGAGTTGCCTGCTATCCGCAGGAACAGGATTCCATGACTTGTCTTCCAATGACGTGAAGCATGTGGCAGCGTTACTGAGCGGCAAGCAGCCAACCATTGGAACAGATACTGGAATCGCGTGGTGTCCATTGACCACGATTATGTCAGGAGGCGAGAGCAAAGTCAAGGCAGGGACAGCGGTGAGCCCAATGCTGAGAGGTGACAACCTCGCCTCTCGAGCCGTAGCTCATCCCCGCGACGTGACTCGAAGCTTGCATGAGGAGCAGCGTGGCCATGATTCGAAAACCGCCTCCTTGACTGACTAAAATCTCAGCTGGCTGCGAAAATGCGGCTCCGTTAATATTTGCGTCGGAGCTGAGCTTGCAGGTATCCATCCGGGCACATGTGTAGTTCAGGGCTGAGAACAGAAGTCTCGCAGATTGCGCCCGAAGCAGATGAGCGCGGAAGCTAAGCGTTGGAACAGGGCGGATTTTGGGTTAAATGGCAGGCAGCAGGCTGACGGCTCGGTCACTAATCCACTCAGCAGGTATCCACACGGGAAAAGATGCATAATTTCGTCAGCTGCGGACCCCGAAAGCTCCAGGTTGGAATGATTCCCTGTTTGGACGTCACGGTGCCAGATCAGCGAGACGGGGCGGTAACGGTGGCTCGAGCTGGGAAATTCGGCAACTATTTCCCCACCGCTGGACCCAGATCTGCAATCCTGCGCATCCACAGGGGATTCCAAAGGCTGCTGTTTGTCACTGGGAGCCGGGAATCACGCGGTGTGCGGTAGTGAACACGGTCGACAGCCGAAATCAAGTGGAATGGGAGCCTGCGAAAGTTCCAATCCGTGAGCCGATGCCAAGGGTCCGGGACGGTGTCGGGGATGGCAAAGATCAATAGCGTAGGCAGACCCGGAGAGATTTTCCTTCTTTTTCAGCGTCATCGACTCTTTTGGTCGTTGGGGGCTGGGCGGCAGCGCTAGTCAGAGACATGCCTGGTCTTGGGACGAACGAAGCCTCCCCGACTCGCGGCGGCAACTCCAGTGGAATCCGGTATGACAATGACAGAATGGTTGCTTTCTAGCCGCACACAATCCGGGAATGCCGTCGGACGATGGTTCGCCATGGCAGCTAGAGCAGAGCGGTCGACAGATTCATACGTCAAGACTTCCAACCGGCCGAGGCGGAAA